AAAACCAAAAAAAAACAAAAAAAAATCCCTTTGATCTCGACGCAGAGGCTGGAGCTGATGTCCCGCACAGGAGGGGATGCAGGGACCTTCCCAGTCGTGCCTGACGGGGGTAACAGTCTAACACCACAGTAAAATCTCTCCTTGTCCCCTCAGTGCCAGAGGAACGGAGCTACGCAGTACACGGGGAGCAGCAGCAAGTCTGCATTAAATTTAGCTAGAAAAGTTTCCTACGTTATTATTTCCTATTTTTCCTGCATTACCTCTGCTGCTAAAGGGTGCATGAGGCAGGTCTGTGCTGTCCTGGGCGCTGGGCTGAGCTGAGCAGCAGAACAGGGTCATGACCACCAGGACAGGACCCCAAGAGCTCCCCCCTCAGCAGCCACCAACGGCATCACCCGGGCGCTGAGGGTCCCTGGGGCAGGAAGGACCCGCCAAGTGGCAGACAGGTATTAACTGGTTTTAGGAAAAAGTCTGCGTGAGTTTTAAGAACAAGAAGATGTGAGGGGGAGGCCTGCCCCAACCTCCGTTTCACCACCTGCTGTCACAAACGGCACCAACACAGTGAGGCCGTTTCAGGGGAGGCGGCACATCGCTACTGTCCTATGCGAGGAAAGAAAGAAAAAAATTATCGGACCAAGGCATTGAAAAATAAAAACTTTTTTTTCCCCATCTACTCAATTTTCACTTTTTTTTTTTTTTTTTTTTAGCGGTATTTATTAAGGAGACTGCTTCACGACAAGGCTGCTGAGACACCGCCAGCCTTGTGCCACAAACTCCTGCTGCACAGCGTGGAAAAATTAATGCAAAGGGCTCGGGGAGAGGGGCCAGAGCTGTCAAAGTGGTGACTCAGAGACTTTCAAACTATGGGCAGCCAAGAGAGATCTTTGTTTTCTCAATAAGGGCTGTTTCAACTCAAATCTTAAATTTCAGTGAATTTTTGGCTGTGTCCTCTTTACTCTTCTGCACATCTGTCATGTATATTTTATGAATACTTCATTAGAATTTCAGGGAGATTTTCTCCAGCCTGAAGTGAAATAGTCCATGCATGGTTTTATGTAGTGTTATGAAAACTTAACTATTTAGACCACGTCTTTACGTTTCAAAACTTTTCTCAGATATGTGAAGTTTATTCTCATGCATTTTTGTTTCATTTTATTTTCAGCTCTGAGATATCTTAAATCTTCTTTAACATGTGCCAGTATTGGTATGATATGTCAGTTTTTCTCCATAAAAGTCTGCATGATGCTGCAAGGAGGATGTACTTATTAGTAGACTCTTACTGGAATGACGGAGACTTTTAGAATTTATTTTTTTTTCCAATCTTTTATGAATATTTTCATGAAAATCTGTGAAAGTGTCTTGGAATCTTTACTATTTTAGTGTATTAAATGCAAAGACAGCATTTTCAAGGTTTAGTAACTTTTTAAAATAGAACTTACTCTAAATGAAACTTATTTAATGAAAATTCACATATGGGATTTTCAAAGTACATTTTCCCCCAAAAGTACAAAATATCCCATATGACTCTAATTATTTCTCTCTCTGCCCGTTCATCTGTAAATTGGGATTTAACGCTCCAGATCACAAAAAAAAAAACCTTTGATGGGGCAGAAGGAGAGGTCTACATCCTCGACTCACTAAATCTTCACGGGCCCACCAAAATTCGGAGGCAACATCCATTTGAGATCCTTCTACGACCCTTTCACAATAGCACAAGGAATTTTGCAAGCATATCCGCTTTCTCCACTTATGCTTCAAACGCACGAGGCTGAACCTACGTGGTAACCGGGCAGATAGTTGTAACGGGTGAGCAAAGGAAAGTGATGGCCACAGGTTCCCTTCCCAGATGCCAGAGCAGCTGGCCAGGCAGAGGTTTCAGTGGCCACCAGCGGCGGGACTCTAGGGAGAGGGTGAGCGATTGCGTGTGACCTGCTACGGCCATTGCCAATGGCACTATAAAATTTTATGGGAATATTATTTGAGCAGCAGGAAGATGCCTGGATACCACAAAACCTCTTCAAAGTCGCCATGAGAAAAGACTGGGGACTGCATCTCAGCTGCGGGTGCGCTCTATGGAGTTGTGAAATGCTGTGCTATCAGTGCCATGAAAATGACGGCCTCGAGCAGGGCATTGATCAAACTGGAGACAATCTAATTTAAACGCAGCCTGTTGTTACGCTGCTCCAACTTAAGACAGAGCTACTCTTTGAAAGGGAGAAGAAAGGGGCATATCTTGGGCCGCCCGTGGAGAACCTCCTGGTTCTGACCAAGACAACCCTTCAGATGGTTTCCCACCCTTTCCCCACGTGAGGAAAGGACCCTGTGCCCCTTCAATGGATCCTCCACGGCCCCCAAGGCCACGCTCGGGACCTCGCTGCCTTCCAAACCACCCCTGGGACCTGTGGTTTCTTGGCGGTGAACACACACAACAACTCACACCATGTGGGTGTAGCTCCGCACCCCAACTGCACACCCTGGCAGACCAGAGCACCCCGGACGGCCAGGCTATATATAGACTCAGCGCCGAGCATAATGAAGCTTCAGTTCTGCTGGAGTCTCCAAAATCTATGATTTTTCCTTTCCATAAGGCGCTCACATATTGGGCCCGTGCTGCCAACAGGAGAAGGAGCGGCGCAACCCAATCTGACTGTGCACGTACCTGTAACGCCGTGCAAGCCACAATAACCTTCACAGTTAAAATCTGGTAAGGGACAGCCCTTCTAGGTTTTCATGTAACGCAGATACGGTTTCTTTTTTTACACAATTGCATTTGCATAATTTCCTTAATGTTGCAGCCTTTTTGTGGTTTATATATTAAACCAATGTTTTCTCTTTAATAAACCCCAACGTAGCATCAGTGCCCATGAATTCTATTGAATTAGACAGACTTTTTTCCTCACACTAATAAGTACGAGAAGCAGTCCAATTTTTATGACACACTAAAGTTTAGATTTTAAATTTTAAACAACTGAACGCTGAATTAAATTTTGCATTTAGCAGAGATACAAATCCCATAACCAGTAGTATTAAGTCTACAGAGGTTTGACTATATTGCTTTAAAGAACCAAAAGACAATTATTGGCAAAAAGTCATTTTAGCTTTAGTGTTCCCCGGTTACACGGGGCTGTATTATAAAAGAGACGAGGATGTTTTTATTATTTTTCTCTTACCTTGATGCCAAGCCTATTGAAATTCTCCGCAGCCACACATTTTATGACTCAACGTTTAATATCCAACACAGATACTAAACAAAATAATTTAAAGAGGCGATATGATAGATCATTCTGTTTCTTCTTCCATTAATACAGCAAGGTTCGCTCATAATATAAAACCATTTTAATTAGACAACAAAGTCATTGCTCTGACCCCTGGAGCACGTTAGAATGACAGTCAACTTCAATTTTGAGAAGCATTGGAGTAACGGCCCTGGCGAGGAGACACTCACCACAAAACACCGCACCCTCCCCTTCCGTGGCCCTTCCTCACCTTTGGAGCAGCAGGAAAAGGGGACGAGGACAGGTCCGATGGGGCACAGGCAGTGGAGCTGCATCCTTGGTAGGGTTCAGTATACGACACCGCTGATATTTCTCCACCTCACGCGTAGCCAAGAGCACCACGTCGATCAAATTTACTTCAGCAAAGCTGGTTGCCAAAAATCCCCTGTAAGAGACAAAATTCTCCAACCACACAGCTCATAAACTGCAACACTAATACATTATTTTTTCTTTCAATAAAGATCTTCTCCCTGCAGCATCACTGGCAAGTTTTTACAATTGCCTCTATGGGGAGAGGAAAAAAAAAAATAATTAAAAATTCATACAATGTCAGTAGAAGTTTTCAAGGTGAGAGAGTCCCAGTACTGAGCTGGTGCCGTTTGCTGCAGCTTTACAGTGTCCCGTGGCACTGAGCAGCCGGTGGTGGGAACCCAGCCAGGACGTGCACCCGCTCAGCTTTACACCCTGGGGAAGAACCTGTCCTTTGGACAAGGAAAAAAAAAAAAAAAAAAGAGCTGAGCAGTAGGTGACTTACAGTTAACCTCACTTTTTTTTTTTTTTCAGCTCCACAGAGATGGATTCACATCAACTAATGAGCACATGCCTTTGAACGGCTAAAGAGAAATAAGGTCAGGATCCAAATCTGGGTGCAAATTGTATTCCTGAGGCCCATTTCTAGCTCTAAACCCACTCTTCAGCACTGTTCCAAGACCAGAGAGGGCTGCT